AGATATTTTTTTTTCCAGTTTTCCAATGTGTGTGCCTCTAATTCCTTTACAGTTTTAAGAAGGACTCAAAACAGGAGTATATATTTATTTGGTGTATCCATAAATGGAGGGAGATTTATATTCTGCTTTTATTTAGTTTTATTTTATTTTTTTTTTAAATTATCTCTCTTTATATCTGCTGTTTGGTGGATGCTTGTGTATAATTCCAATGTCACACACATTCTGCACACAAGTCCCTTCTTGTGATCTATGCCTTTTATTCTAACATCTACCTTGAGGTTGGATTGTAGCATTCACTCACATTAAATATTTTATTGATATGTTTTGATTTATATACTTATAATAATTAACAATAAAAAGATATTTGCATACATATGAATTGCCCTATGTACTTTTCTGTATTGTGATTTCTTTATCTTAAAATTACTACACTCTTGTAATATTATAGCATGCATTAGTGTCAGGTAATGATCACTAGTACATTTACTCTTATTTTTTTTTTTTTAATATTTATTTTTCAGTTTTTGGCGGACACAACATCTTTGTTTGTATGTGGTGCTGAGGATTGAACCCCGGCTGCATGCATGCCGGGCGAGCGCACTACTGCTTGAGCCACATCCCCAGCCCACATTTGCTCTTATATATGAGAGAGTTCTTGCCTAATTTTATATACATTTATCTTTCCAGGAAAATTTTAGAAGTTTTTGCTTTGATTTCTTCTTTAACAAAAAGTAAAAAATGGTAAAATTTTGACCAGTTATTATTAAAGGGTACCTTGGGGAAAATGATCATTTTTATAATAGTTTTATCCTTTGTAAATATGTTGAATATTTGAGTCTTTTATGTTCTTTTCTGTATTTTTATTTTCTCAAATACTGCATATTCCTTTTGTAAACATATTTACATATGAAATGCAACATTCATGTGACATCAGCATAAAACATACATGGTATTTTATAGTATTTGTCAAACTGGATATAATACATCAACAAAAATTCTAGCTGCTAGAATTTACATTTTACAAAATTTAATAATTATTTCTTCCTCTAGCCATGCCCCTTGATTTCACCTCTGGAAGAATATGGCTGTATTCTCATGTACAGTTGCTGTAATTTTAGTCTCTGTTTCCTGTGTGGGTGTATCATATACATTTTATTACAAAACAGTTGCTACAAATGGATAATAAAAGCTTAATTATTATTTTTCTCTTTTGTGAATGCATTTATTCCACATATTCATCAATGCTATTTAATTCATCTATATGATGTGATTTTATTCAATGTTACCTAATTTCTAAAGATTTTGAGTTTTTATGATTATTGAACACTTAGATATATCCTTTTTAAAGTGACTCTTCAAGAACTTTTTCTGTTTTTATTTTGCAATCTGTATTATTTCTTCTTCTTATAAGCGTTTGATGATATGTGAGGAAAATAGGGTTTCTTATTACCTTGTCAGTTTCACACCTTTTAATGTAATCACTTGATGAATATATTTTTGTATTAATATTTTGTAATTCATAAGTTTAAGCCTATTATATTCTATAATTTTGAAAACAAAAACTTTTTTTTTCTTTTGTGATATTAGGGATTCAACCAAAGTGTCTTATTGCTGAGCATATGCTCAGCTCTGTTTTAAATTTTATTTCTAGATGGGGTTTGCTTAATTTCTTCAGTTGGCCTTAAATTTTGAACTTCATGCCTTAGACTCCAGAATAGTAGATAGTTCAGGTGTGAACCACCATATGAACCCTATCTTTTGTATGTAAACTTTTGAGCTTTGTACTTTCTTATATATTTCAGTATTATTTATTAATAACTTATATTTACCATTTAGTGTGTCAAAATATGTTGTTATGTTTTATGAGTGAAGGGATAAAATAGCATTTTATTATTACACTGTTTTCCCAATATCCTAGCAAGTTTTAAGAGTTTTGTTGTTGGTGTTTTCTGTAGTTCCACCATTTATTTTATTATGAGGTTTACCCTGATTGATTTTACTTTATAACATCAATCATGTGGCATCATGGTATTTTGGTCAACAGTAGACTTTATGTACAACCATGGATCTAGCAAATATCTTAGCCATGTACTAGTCTATACCATCTAGATTCTGTCATTGCACTCAGAGAATTGGAAAATTGCACAAGATTCTTAGGATAAATTTTCCAGAGTGTATTTCCATAAAGTGAGAAATCATTATATATGCCTATATTTGCAATTATACGCTGTATAATTGATATAATTTTTATTTGTTGAATTTTCAAATTTGCTAATGCTTTCTTTTTTTTTTCTTTTTTTTTAATTTTTTTTATTGGTTGTTCAAAACATTATAAAGCTCTTGACATATCATATTTCATACATTAGATTCAAGTTGGTTATGAACTCCCAATTTTACCCCAAATACAGATTGCAGAATCACATCGGTTACACATCCACATTTTTACATAATGCCCTATTAGTAACTGTTGTATTCTGCTACCTTTCCTATCCTCTACCATCCCCCCTCCCTCCCCTCCCATCTTCTCTCTCTACCCCATCCACTGTAATTCATATCTCTCCTTGTTTATTTTCCCATTCCCCTCACAACCTCTTATATGTTATTTTGTATAACAATGAGGGTCTCCCTCCATTACCATGCAATTTCCCTTTTCTCTCCCTTTCCATCCCACCTCATGTATCTGTTTAATGTTAATCTTTTCTTCCTGCTCTTCCTCCCTGCTCTGTTCTTAGTTGCTCTCATTATATCAAAGAAGACATTTGGTATTTGTTTTTTAGGGATTGGCTAGCTTCACTAAGCATAATCTGCTCTAGTGCCATCCATTTCCCTGCAAATTCTCTGATTTTGTCATTTTTTAGTGCTGCGTAATACTCTATGGTGTATAAATGCCACATTTTTTTTTTATCCATTCATCTATTGAAGGGCATCTGGGTTGGTTCCACAGTACATTGCTGGTGGGACTGCAAACTGGTGCGGCCAATCTGGAAAACAGTATGGAGACTCCTGGGAAAGCTGGGAATGGAACCACCATTTGACCCAGCTATTGCCCTTCTTGGACTTTTCCCTGAAGACCTTAAAAGATCGTACTACAGGGATACTGCTACATCGATGTTCATAGCAGCACAATTCACAGTTGCTAATGCTTTCTTTTTTAATTGTATCTGCTTATTTTTTTTTTTATTGGTACTGAATATTGAACCCAGGGGTGCTTAACAATAAAGCCACATCCTCAGTCCTTTTATTTTATATTTTATTTAGAGACAGAGTTGCTAAGTGCCTCACTAAGTTGCTCAATACAATATATATAAGACAATATTATATATAATATTATCTTAGAATTTATGATCCTTTTTTCTTATCCTCCTCAGTCACTGGAACTACAGTTGTCCATCACTAGACTGGGCTCATTTGCTTTTTAAAAGCACCAACATTGATATTGGTAACTCTGTGTTATGTTTATCTTAAATAGCTTCTAATTTTGCTCTTTTCCTTAAGACTTTCTTTACTTTTAGTTTTTAAATTTTACTTTTTATTGGGATGGATGATTCGATAAGAAATTGTAACCATTTTGTGGATTACTAATTTTTTGTATGTTTTATTTTCACCTCAGGTATAGATGAATTCCAATTTTGGCAGCTGTATGGAGGTCTAAGTGAAACATAATAACCTGTATGGATATTGTTAAAGAAATGGAACCACAATTTTACCCAGTTTTTCGACTGCACTGTATATGCCCAAAGGACATAAAATCAGCATACTACATTGACACAGTCACATTAATGTTTATAGCAGCATGATTCAGAATAGCTAAGCTATAAAACCAACCTTTCAATGATGAATTAGTCCATTCAGTGATGACAGGATAAAAAACTGTTGCTTATGTACACAATAAACTATGAATCAGCCGTAAAGAAGAATGACTTTATGACATTTGCCAGGAAATGGATGAATCTGGAGATTTTACGCTAAGTAAAACAAACCATTTCTTTAAAACCAAAGGTTGAAAGTTTTTGCTGATATGTGAAATCTAAAGCTCATAAAGTGGGGAAGGAAAAGAAAAGAAGATCAGTAGGTTGCACAATAGTAAACAAAAAATAAATAAATGAATAAATAAAAGGGACAGGGATAGAAATATAAAATATATATCTCTAAGTGAATCCTACCATCGTATCCACCAACAAGAACAGAATTTTTATTAGGATAAGATATATCCCATGCTTGCATAATACCATAAAAATCGATTTTACTGTCAAGTAGATCTAGAAAGAACAAATAAAATAAAAAACAAATTATATTTGTTTGAAGAGCTATATGTATATTCTATATAAATATCATACAATATAAACATCGATCAAAGTTTATATATATATAAAGTTCATATATATATAGTATGTTAAAAATGTTAAATTATAAAAAGGAAAATTCAAACAGGATTGTTGTTGCTATTTTTATATTAATAACATACATAAATACTATAAAATGTTTGAACTTAAATAAACTATTAAATATTTCCATTAAGTGGTCTGTCTACCTTGTTACATTTCAAAATTTCTCTTATACCATTGGTATTGGAATTACTAGAGATCTCACTACACATTCAGAACAGCCAACTCTATGAGAGAAATAACAAATAAGATTCCACACATTAGTAAATCTCTGATTCGTGGTTGTACAATTAAAATTTGAGGATTTCCTTTCTTAATTACCATAATTTTCTCATCTGAATAATATACATAATTTAGATCATGATATAAAAAATTAGAAAATATATATTTTTACGGTAATGCCTGAGTTTTATATTATGTTTCATAAATGTGGAGTATGTATACTTTTTTGAACTTAAATCACTTTTTCTTCAGAAGTAGATAACAGTATCATGGTGTTCCAAAACACCACCTACATGATAGTCTACTAACTCTCATTTCAACTTCAATTACATTACAGACTGTACAAATGTTCATGTGGTCAATGTGTTATTTATTTGCCTATTCTTATTTTAGGAACTGTTAACATTCAGGGATGTAGCCATTGATTTTACTGAAGAGGAGTGGGAATGCCTTCAGCCTGCTCAGAAAAATTTATATAGAGATGTGATGCTAGAGAACTATAGAAACTTGGCCTTCCTGGGTAAGTTTAATTTCCCTTTAAAATTTGAATTAATAATTATTATTTAATTTACTTCTGTTGCAGAGTATCTTCTGGGAACTTCTCAATAAGAATGAGTTTCAGATTTTTGTTTCAAAGAAAAAGGGTATTTTATACAGATATTTCTCTCTCTCTCTCTCTCTCTCTCATATATATATATATATATATATATAATTTTACTCTTTAATCTGTCTCTTTCTTTGTGTGTTATACATCCTTCCCTTTAGATAAGTAGTACCTAGTATAATTTAGTGGTGTAAATTATTGTAGACTACACATAGCAAGGGACACAGTTGAGTCATTCAAATGTCAAGGAGAAACCAAACTAAAAAATGTTGAAAGAGTAGTTATCCAGCAGAAGAAATTTTCAGAAGCTTAGGTTTATTTATTTTGATTGTAATCATTGAGTACATACTGCCCTATATTTATCACATTTTCAAATTCCTTGTTGTTCTCTATTTTCTTCTTTAATGATGTCCCAGTTTATTCAGATTAACCACCAAAACTTACCTTTTGTTGTGAGGGACAGCATGATCTGTTTCAAATCCTCTTGTGAGGAAGCCTTTAAAGAAGAAAACAGAAGAGAGAGACACACACACAGTGAAAAGGAAAAAAGAAAAAAAAAAACTGGCCACCCCTCTTAACAGCTGCACATATAATACCCCAAAATTACATAGCTTCTGATACCATGACTACATTCTAACCCAGTGTTTCTTTAACCCCAAGTGCTAGATAACCAAGATTGGGTACAGTTAATACAAATAAAGACCCCCTTCTCCATGAGGACATTACCACAGAAACTAGATAGTGCACCTGTAGAGTTGTCTTAATAGCTTCAGGGAGAAAGTGCTGGGCATTACAATTGTGGGACTCAGGGTGCCAGTTACCATCACCCCCACACTTTCCTGTCTATTTCCAAGGTCAGAATACCTAATACCTCCCCTCTTTTTTAAGGCCTTTTGAATAAATAATATTACTTATTTCCTTAATGCTGATGGGGGCAAAAAATAGGGCAGGCATAGACAACAGCAAGTTCCAACATAAGTAAACATCCACCTATGAATATTTTTGACCCAGATGTAATTGAGTAAACATGAAGTTAGCCATTCCAACAAGTCTAAACATCCATCATCTTGTTGAACCTTATTAATTATGTATTTAAGGTAATCTAAGTCTTTTGAAATAAAATTACTATTATAACTTAAATTGAAGGAACACATGTTACTAAACTTCTGATATCCTTTATGATGTAACAATAACACACAATCAATTGCAGCATGATTGTCAAGTATGGCTTGACAATGTTGTTTTTGTTCTTCATTAAGCCTATTTACATCCATGGAGGCATGATTAATACTGTTTATGATAGCATAGGCGAGTTTCATACTAGTTTGCACAACTACTGAATCATTATAGTTTTTATCAAGAGGAATAGACCTTTTATGAATAAATTCCACAGGATGGTGACCTATTAAATACTATGTGGATGGTAAGGACACATTATTCTGCTAAGACAACAATGAATACCATGCGACATTTTTACAGGTATATGACAGTTTCATACAAGTGAGTCAAGATATTGTAATGGGTTCTAGAAGTCCAGGATCTGACAGTACTGAATTTCCCACAGCTGGTGTACACAAAACAGAGCAACATTGTTATTAAGACTAAAGCATTTACAGAGTTTTGTGTGAGTTTAGTAATCAAAGAAGTAACAAAATTATCTAGAGTACATTCTAACCCCATTTTAGCCAACACGTGTTGAGCTGAGGCTGTTAATGATTTTATACCCCCCAAGTAACTAGAATTCAAGTATCTTGGGGTCCTCTTTTAATGTATCTCCTCTTTTGAGGAGAATGATTATTCTCTTGTTTGGATGGACTCTTCTCATCCAGGGTTAAATGAAACTTGGAAATCAGCTTGTGAAGTCCCTGATGTTCATTTATAATTGCTATTTTTCATACATGAAGCTAGAGTCCAAACAGGACATGTTGGCATCAGTGTAGCACTCTATGCTTTTCCTCATGTGATCAAAGGCATAGGATCTTGTCATGCTGGTGAGGTGGAACCTCATATATTACATAATTTTTTTGGTAATGTCTGTTTGAGAATAAAATGTCTCTATTCAATGCAGATGACCAATTTTGTGTATTTACTTTATGTTGTATATTGAGCACATTAACTGTAAATAAAACAATATTTAATGCATATTAATATAAGAGAGGATAGATCTTTGTTTGTTTCCGTTTTAAAAGGCAAGTATTAGGATACAATTTGCTCACTCAACCAAAGTGCGTCCAAAAGAATTATGAGAAATTTCATGATTTAAAACTATATCTCATTGATTAAAAATTGTGCAAAAGGATGAGATGTAAAGGCAGGCGTATTATCCATCTTTAAACAAATAGGGCCTCTAGGAGAAGATCATGCTTGGTTTGTTTCCATGCTCTCTGCTGGAACTGACTTGACATTTTCTTTTTTTAGATTCAATTCTGGTAGTAAAATTTTTTCTTTTGTTTTGTGTTTTGCAATAATGCATTAGTAATCATAAATATTTTGAAGTGAATAAATCATTATACTTCTACTTTGTAATTTTTTAATGTTTTTTGTTTTTTTCTATTTTGATTACTGATTTAATTTCTGGATCATTGTTTTTTTATTGTGGCATGCTTGGATTCTTTTCATACTTTCTATATCTATATCTATCTCTCTCTCTCTCTCTCTATATATATATATATATAGAGAGAGAGAGAGAGAGATACATTGTATACAATATATTGTATATATTGATTCACATGTGGAAGTCAGAAATTTAGTGAGCAAAATTTTGCTCACCAGGTACTGTGTTTTGTGTAGGGTTGATATTATAGTCAAAGTCTCCATATTTTTATTTTATTGAGCATAATAGGGTCAAGAGTTTTATTTTACCACATAGTGAGTGTATTATGTTCTTCATAAATACTATTAGAAGGAATACAATACCTTGTAAGAACAAAACTGATAATTATATGAAATAATGATTGTGTTGATTCATTCTATTTAGTCATATATATATATATATATATATAGAGAGAGAGAGAGAGAGAGAGAGAGGGGGGGGAGAGAGAGAGAGTGTGTCTTTGACTATAATATCAATCCTACACAAAACACAGTGTGTGTGTGTGTGTGTGTATAATATATTTATATATATATATATATATATATATATATATATAATTTCACTTCTCTTTATATATCCTATAGATTTTTAATTTTTACAGTATTTTACAAGTTGCTTAGACTTGTCTTAAACTTGGTACTGCTTGATAAGCCTCTCCCATATTGGTAGAATTTCAGATTTGCACACTAGGCATGCCCCTCTCATTTTTTTCTTAAAGAATTATTCACATAAACATTGTGCTCATTGATGTTAATATTTTTCAATTTCATTCTCTAAACTTTTTAAAATAGTTATTTAGTGTTCTTTGAGTAATTCATAACTGTCAGTATCGTAATGTTAAATTCTTAATGTTTTTTTTTTTCTTTTTTTGTCCCTTGGATTTAGCCATGCTTCTCTTTGTTTATATTTGCTGTACTATTTTTTATTTGTTAATTAAAGGAGCCATCAGTAGATTATATGGTCCATTTTTGAGAAAAAGATATAAAAATTTTTAAATAAATAAAAATAGGCAAGAACAGTGCTGCATCCTGGTAATATTTGCTAATTGGGAGGCCATGCAAATGTACTTCATGATTGAGAGAAGTCACAGAAATTTAGAAACAGCATGGCTCAAACAATTTTAAAAAGACATGTGTTGTAGTTCATGATATAGAATTTTTGGAGTAACCTCAAGCATTACACATGAAACATTAAAAGTTGGATGACCTAAAGACCCAGAATTGCCAGTACTAAATATGTATCCATGAACAATTAAATCTGAAAATTGAAGAGATACCTCTGCTTTTGTGTTTAGTGCAAACATTTTTCTCAGTATTAAAGCTAGGGACTCAATGTGTGTGCCCATCAATGTCAAATGTGTAAAAATATGTACTTATATACTATTATTATTTAGTTATAAAATATTTTGTCTCTTAAAGTGTTATAAGGAATATATGCAGGACTTTCAATTAAATGAAAGGTGGCAGGCAGATATTAAGTTGTAGGAGCATTTGATTCACATGTGGAAGTCAGAAATTTAGTGAGCAAAATTTTGCTCACCAGGTACTGTGTTTTGTGTAGGGTTGATATTATAGTCAAAGTCTCCATATTTTTATTTTATTGAGCATAATAGGGTCAAGAGTTTTATTTTACCACATAGTGAGTGTATTATGTTCTTCATAAATACTATTAGAAGGAATACAATACCTTGTAAGAACAAAACTGATAATTATATGAAATAATGATTGTGTTGATTCATTCTATTTAGTCATTTTACCTTGTATATATAGTATAAAATACCATGATATATTTATAAATAAACAAATTTGTATTTGTCAATAAGGGAAATTCTCATATCACACGAATGTAAAAATATAAAAATCAATTTATTATACTTGATGGTCATGTTTTGAATTCATCCAAGTATTATCGCCATAGGCTATGCAAGGTTTTTATACTCTTTTAAAATGTTTTTTATGAAAAATTTTATAGACATATATGTGTATATTTCTTAGTAAATTTTTTGTTCATATTTCTTTTTTAAGAGCCCATTGCCTCTTTACGCTTGTTGAATATTTATGGTATTATCACTCAAAATCTACTAGTTATTTTCATGTCTCTATGTCACGGTAGACAAAAACCATTTTTTGGACACTCTTTGAAAAAGCCAGAAATGTTTGTATATGTTTTACATTTCTCTTATTCTACTGACAGTGAAGGTAGCTGGTAGATATTTCCTAAATACACAATACTATCTTATGAAGGACAAAAGGCTTTTAACTACACTTTATTATATTACTCTTCTTAATGATGTACTCCTCTTGGATACTGTGGTGTCTACAAGAATTTGGGTAATATTCTCAAGGTAATTTTGTCTGTACATTTTTATTGAAGTAATATATTTTTTGGATTTATGGTGACTTTGGACTTACTAATCTGCTACACTCCTGATGTACTTATTTTACCTTAATTTCATGTTATATATGCAAAATATATTTATCCCAGTCTAATAGGTATTGTTTTTTTTTAAAATTTTTGTTTCTTTCAGCCATGACTTCTAATCACACCCAAGAATATTCACCAGAAAAGGGCCTAAAACATATATTTCATGAAGTGATAAGTGCAAAATATAGAAGTTGTGATCTTGGCTATTTACAACCAAAGAAAATATGGAAAAGTACAAGTGAGAGTGAACACCAGAAATCATATAAAAAATCAGGCCTTGTTCACCACCAGAGAATTTATACTGAAGAGAAGTCCTACAAATATGAAAAATGTTGCAAAGCTTTTAGTAAAAACAAAGGTCTTATTTACCACAGAGGACCCCACAATGGAGAGAAGCTCTACAAATGTAAAGAATGTGGCAAAGCTTTTGGTCAAAAATCACACCTTAATTGCCACAGTAGAACTCACACTGGAGAGAAGCCCTACAAATGTACAGAATGTGGCAAAGCTTTTGGTCGAAAATCACACCTTACTTGCCACATCAGAACTCACACTGGAGAGAAGCCCTACAAATGTAAAGAATGTGGCAAAGCTTTCAGTCTAAAATCAATCCTAATTTGCCACAGTAGAACTCACTCTGGAGAGAAGCCCTACAAATGTAAAAAATGTGGCAAAGCTTTTGGTCGAAAATCAAACCTTATTTGCCACAGGAGAACTCACACTGGAGAGAAGCCCTTCAAATGTAAAGAATGTGGCAAAGCTTTCAGTCAAAAATCACCCCTAATTTGCCACAGGAGAACTCACAATGGAGAGAAGCCCTACAAATGTAAAGAATGTGGCAAAGCTTTTGGTCGAAAATCACACCTTATTCGCCACAGGAGAACTCACACTGGAGAGAAGCCCTACAAATGTAAAGAATGTGGCAAAGCTTTCAGTCGAATATCATACCTTGTTTGCCACGGAAGAACTCATACTGGAGAGAAGCCCTACAAATGTAAAGAATGTGGCAAAGCTTTCAGTCTAAAAGAAGGCCTTATTTACCACAGCAGAAGTCACACTGGGGAGATGTCCTACAAATGTAAAGATTGTGGCAAAGCTTTTCGTCAGAAATCACACCTTGTTAACCACAGCAGAACTCACACTGGAGAGAAGCCCTATAAATGTAAAGATTGTGGCAAAGCTTTTGGTCAAAAATCATACCTTATTTACCACAGCAGAATTCACACTGGAGAGAAGCCCTACAAATGTACAGAATGTGGCAAAGCCTTTGGCCACAAATCACACCTTGTTAACCACAGCAGAACTCACACTGGAGAGAAGCCCTACAAATGTACAGAATGTGGCAAAGCTTTTGGTCACAAATCACACCTTGCTAAACACAGCAGTACTCACAGTGGAGAGAAGCCCTACAAATGTACAGAATGTGGCAAAGCTTTTGTTGCCAAATCAAACCTTATTCACCACAGCAGAACTCACAGTGGAGAGAAGCCCTACAAATGTACAGAATGTGGCAAAGCTTTTGGTCAAAAAATAGGCCTTATTCGCCACCACAGAACTCACTGGAGAGAAGCCCTACAAATGTGAAGGATGTGGCAAAGCTTTTACTCAGAAAACAGGCTTTATTTGCCACAGAGGAACTCACACTAGAGAGAAGCCTTACAAATGCAAAGAATGTGGCAAAGCGTTCAGTCAAAAATCACACCTTATTTGCCACAACAGAACTCACACTGGAGAGAAGCCTTACAAATATAAGGAATGTGGCAAAGCTTTTAGCAAAAAAACAGGCCTTATTCACCACAACAGAACTAACACTGAAGAATAGCCCTACAAATGTAAATAATGTGGCAACCCTTTATAAAAAAAATAAAACTTTATTCACCACAACAGAAGACAACCTTGTGAATGTGAAATGTGAATAAAGTGATAATAACTTTCAAAGAAAAACTAAACCTTGGGGCTGGGGTTGTGGTTTAGTGATAGAGTGCTAGTCTCGCATTTGTGAGATCCTGGTTCAACCCTCAGTACCACATAAAAATAAATAAGTGAAATAAAGTTATTCTGTCCAACTACAACTAAAAAAATAAACACTAAAAAAATGACTAAACCTTATTAACAACAGAATTTATACAGAAAAGAACCCCTACAAATTAAAACAATGCAGCAAATCTCTTAATAAGAAATCAATTCTTATCGCCACTAGGCTATTTATTCTGGAAAGAAGACATGTAAATGTGGAGAATGTAGAAACATTTTCAGTTACTTTACTAGACATCAGAGGAAACACTGGAGAGAAGCTCTACAAATGAGACCATTGTACCATTATTCTAAGAAAGGGACAACATTTAATCATCACCACAATAACCGTAGCATAGAGAAAGTTTTGAAATGTGAAAATTTGACAATTTTCACATTGACAATGTGACAATGCCTCCAAAATTTATTCACCAATACTCAGTACCTGTGGATACATACTGGTTAGAGAAAATACAAATGGGAAAAAAAATTGTAGCCACATGTTTCTTAAACACTGCTTATTTTTGGAGAATTCATTGTGCCCAGAAACCCTAAAAAGTTAAATAATATTTCCAAAACATATTTAAATTTTAAATTCATTGAACATCTGAAAACTCATACTAGTAGTGAACATTGAACAGATTTTGTCCAAAATGTATGCCTTATATAACAATGAAACATTTATAATAAATGTGAGAGTAAAGTTGTTATCTATACATTACACCTTGATGTATATGAGGATCACTAAAATACAGAACTCATTTAAGTTTAGAAAATAAGTAGTTGTCTTTAACTTTTGCTTAAATTTATTAAGCATTATCAAGTTATTTTACAGAAATATCAGTCATAAATACCATACATGAATAGTGAAGAAGCCTCATCTTTGAAAGAATATAATTGTTTTTCTAAATCAATATTTACTATTTTCACTTTTGAATACTGAGAAAAGAATTATATGAAATCTATTTTTGATGTTTAACACTGAAGTGTAATATTTTGAACTTTATTTTTTTTTAATTTCAGTTTAAATTTAGGCATTTTTAAACACTGAGCCACATTCCTAAGCCCTCTCTCCACTTTTGCAAATTTTGAGACTGTCTTTCTAAGTTGCTTGAAACCACACTAAGTTGCTGAGACTGAATTTAAACTTCTGAAACTACTCAACTTCCCAATTTGCTTGGATTACAAGCACGGACCATCATGACAGGTTTACAGTGCATTTTTTTAACCTATATTTACCTTATATAGGCAATATGTCTTTATAACTGAATATTTATTTATATGTTAACACTCATGTATTGCATCCTGTTGTTAAATGACAGACATCACAGTGTTCCACTTGACTAAATGTTCTCTGTAACAGTAAAACATACTATTGAGTAAATAATACTCTAGCATCTCTTAATACTTTTACAGATTTTAATCAAACTTAATGTGGAATACAATTTGCATAAGTCAGATCATTATTTTTTTCTGTTTGTATTTATGGTGAAATTAAGAGTTATAAGAAGGATATAGATATAGGAAAATAAGCCCCAGATTTTCATATCTTGAATTATAAATTTTAACATTTTAACATTTCCTAGGGATTTGAATAGACTGAATTTCCACAAACTTAAAGGTAGCTCTTACAGGAGAGAAGAGCTTTATGTTTCTTGTGTGTGCATAATGGCCTTCTAGACTTCAGCCTCATTGGAGACATTTCATTTTTCTGTGAATGAGGTCAGTGATCAGTGTTTTCATGTGCATAAGTAAATTCTGACATCGTTGTTATTCTATAGGTAGTATTATTTCAGGGCAGGAATCAGAGAAATGGATGTGGAGTCAAGGTTGAGTGAGGCCTTATACTTATGACAAAATAATCAATGAGCTATGTTGTACAGTCTCATTTTCTGTGGACCAAGTAGTAAGAGGTTAACTGAGAAGGTTGTATGTAAAGATTAAGTTTCTTATCATAAAATGTTGGCTTACCAGCTACAATAGGGTAAAGGCTTCTTATACATAGAATCCATACAAAAATCATATTGAATATCATTCACAATTTTATTAACATTACATATAATTCATGAAGAACTGAGCTTACAACAACATATGCCTAAGAACAAGAACAGAGGACATTGTACACTCTCCAATATAGACATATTTATACCAATTATACATGAAACTACACTAAATGAGAAGAAAAATCAATTGGATTAACACACAACAGTATACAAATAAAAACTTGTAAAGACTTTAGCAAGAGACCAATAGTGGATGAAGTGTGGCTTCCAAATGCTAGGGAAAAAATGGACATATAATCAGTTAAAGGTAATTGAAGAAATATAAGTTACCCACTTTGAGCTAGACCAGCATTTGAAAGAAAAAGAGTCACAAAAAAGCAAAGATTATTCACTTCCATTTGTATGCTTTGTAATATTTTCCAAAAGTTTTCTGCATATTTTATTGCAGTCAAATTGGAAACAATCCAGAAAGTTAAAAAAAAGACAAGTATTGCTCCTCTGGTTTTAAAAGCAAGAAAAGGAATAGAGATTTATTGAGCTGGAAAAATTTACTAGTTAGAGGTTAAAAAAAAAAAAAAAAGAACTGAGATTACCAGAGTCTCAGTATAATGTATTTCAGCCATCCCTGGCTGCACAGGGCATTTTTGCTTAACAAAGAATTTGTTCACGTATGTACAGCTTAAATAACATTGCTGTTTTTACTCAGTCTTTTTCATTAATAACAATGATGCACCTTTCAACAGTTTCCAGCCACAAAAATACATAATTTCAGAAATCTTCTGGTTCATCTTCCATATATTCTGCCACAATATTCACCAGGGCAAGATAATATAAACCTTTTGGCAGCCCATCAAGGCATTCACTTCTTTTAATTTTAAGGCCAAACATATACTGCATAGAAAAGTATGATACATGGAACAACATAATTTTACATGGAACAACATAATATTACTTAGTAAAATTTTTTTTCATGAAAAATATATCCCAACTCCTTTGTCTTGGGATTACATTAGAAAAATATGAGGTAATTATACTGTGTTCTATGACCTTAGGCTATGAGCCTTAAAATTACCTTAAAATACAAAAAAAAAAAATAATGTTTATTTTTAAATATAGTTTTTATATTTCAAAACATTCAAATCAAATTCCACAGCAATCGATGATACAAAAAAGATGAGAAAAACAACTGCAGTTTGGTGTCTCATCATGACATTACAATATCTGCTGTAGATTTCCTGTGGCTTCCACTTTTAATTTAAAAAATAATTTTTCCATACAATTTGGGTGAAGTGGAGGACAAAATCTCCTGCATTGCTTTCCTGAGCAAGCCATCATACTTAAAACAACTGAACCCCAAGTCAAAATATGTTTTCTCTACAATCTAATTATACCAGTCCTTAACTCATCTAACATAAAACAAATCCACTTTCTTCTGGTTGAATATATTGAGCCCAAAGATATGGAACCTGGGAGCTAAAAGAAGTATGACATAAAGAACGAGGTCTTTTTGAGCATAAGGCAAATTGCACTTTTTGTATTTGATTTTTCTGCCTGTGAAGATCTACATTTCTCTTCCTACAATGGTATTATGATTGATGGTGACTTGTGTGATAACAGGAGGCTTAAAATGCAGCTACATGTCTTTGAGTCCTTTCACTGGTAAAAATTACTGTAATTTGTACTCTAATAGGAGACTCAAAATGGTGCTATACAAACCTATTTTTTTAATCTGCCTCTTTATTCATGGTTTTCTAATGGTTTTGATCTAGTCAGTTCAGACCATTTCTGATTAATTGGTGTCATCAAGGTGTAAATTCCCTCTGATCAGTAGCAATGAGACAATTCTTCCCATTAAAAATAAAAACATTCTCATAGAGTCTTTGCTATATTCCAAGGAACAACTCTTGCTTTTGCTTTACTAAACAAAATAAATTCCACATATTTGAGTCCCAAAGTAAATGGCAATACATTAACCTAAGCACCATGAGGAATATAAGAAATACAAGATATCATCTTTGAAATATAAAAAAAAATAAGAATCATAAATGCTAAGCCATTACCATCTAAACCATCCCAGAGCTTTTAAATTGTAATCTTAGATGTTCTACTCACTCTCATAGTAAGAGGCCTTAAACTCAAAGATATTTAATCACTCACTAAAGATCACTCAGTGAATGCATAACACTTCTTATTCTAAAGCTTTTCCAGAATTTTTTCATAATACATTGCAAAGTCTCACCTGTCTTCTTTAGAAATAAGACACAGAACTTTTTTAGTCTGTTTTATAATGCTATACAAAATGCCAGAAACAGGCCAATGTATAAAAAGAGATATAACTGCATAAAAATATTTTCTGAGGGGCTGGCATTGTGGCTCAGTAGTAGAGTGCTCACCTGTCACATGCAAGAAGTTGGGTTTAGTTCTCAGCACCACATAAAAATGAATAAATAAATAAAATAAAGGTATTGCATTCAACTACAACTTATAAATAAATAAAAATATTTTTGAGTACATAGTTCTGAAAATCTAAGTGCATTGTACCAGAATCTTCTCAGCTCCTGTGACAGCCCCTTCACCTGCATTACATTTGAGATGGCATTATGGTGAGGGCTCCTTTGAGAAGTAGAGAGAACATAATGAGAAAGGAAGTCAGAGAAATTCAGAAAGAAGACTTGCTCTTTTTGTAACAACCGGCTTTAATAAGAACTATCTTGTGTCCCATGAAAGTTCCATTAACCCTTTCCAAGAGCATCTCCCCCAATGATCTAACCACAATTTACTAGATCTCACTTCTTAAACATTCCACAATTTTCCAACTCTCTCCCTTTGAAACTAAGT